TTCACAGTGAAATAAATCAAATGTTCAATGAACTATGAACATATGTCGAAGTTGTAACCACGGGTGCTAATCTCATCCAAGTGACAAATTGCTGTAATCAGTTATTAGAGTGATGGGGAATAAAGAAGATTTTCAAAGGAATTAATTTCTTTATAATTTCAACCCCTTGAGACAAAAGACACAAAGCCCAACCCCATTTATAAATAAATTGTTAGTTTTAAAAGCCATAACTACGAAGCCCGATTTGCTTGCTACACAGACTTCGGTCAAAATCGTTTCTTTTAAATTGTATTTCAGTCGCACAGTCAAAATAATGCTGCTGACCAATGGGATTGTCAATTATCATTTATTTATTTATGGATTGCACTTCAAGTCAAGATGAAAGTAACAGATTCGGATGATCACAGAAATAAATGTCCGCTAAGTTTGCTAATAAATGTAAGGAATCCATTACTCTGTGTCCTATAGGTGGATAATTAATTGAAAAAAATGTAGGCCAGATGCCCCCATTTTCTAACTTTCTCTAATAAAAGTGCTTGAAAAAGCATCCCTTTTGTAGGACTTGCAATAGTAAAATTAATATTATTAATTGCGATGATAAATATATTCGAAATAAAATTTTATGGACCGGAGCCACAACGATCATTTGGGTGGTGTAATTCAAGTCACACCTTTCAGTAAATCAGTTCTAGGATCACCGTCAGTCATGTCCATCATCATTTATTGACATCTATTTGTGTACATGTGTTCGAACGCGCGCACGCACAGGTGAACCGCAGTTAGATACTATAATCGAGCTCTTATCGTCAGTCAATCATTTCGAAACAGTAGGTATTGACAGACATCTCCTGTCTGTGTGGCTAAACAAACTTTTTCTTATTAATAAAATTTCATTTTGAGCAAACTAATATTTCGTGAAATAAATCAGAAACTAGAAATAAAGCGTCTGTTTAGTCCTCTGGAATTTGCGTCCAACTAGTGACCAATTTAATTTGAAGATAAACCTCTTCTATTGTCTTAATGTGGAAGACTTCAGTTGATTACATATACCTTCATATGGGTTTCTTTCAAAATATTCTTCACCTCATCATTGAATGTTTATAGAGAAATCGAATGCATAATTATAAGATTAGAGTTCATACATTACGTAGAAAACCTTGGCGTATTGTGCCGAATTGCAATTTTGTAAATGACAACAGTGCGTTATCAACACAAATGCAAACTACCAATTACCGAAAGAACTTGCATCCAAAGGGGAGACTAATTGATTACATATTCTATTTCCAAACTTACTCCTTCTGCTCTCTCAATTTTATCTTTTGCAATTTTAGTGAATTCAAATTTTATGTCACGGTTCCTCTTTAAATTGACACAAAAATTGCCTGAATAATTAACAAAAATTAATGACGAGATACATACAAAGGAACACTTTTGACGCTTCTAAACACATTTTAAATAAGGGTATTGAATATATGCATCTTATATATGGAACATTTAAGTAACCTATTTAATCCATTTATCAAAATAAATAAATAAATAATAATAATAAATAATAAAAATTGTCATGCAAAAGAATTTCTGAGCTCCTAGAATGGTAAATACTGATTATTTTAAAGCTCTATTATCATCAACGCGGCAAATTGGTGAACATACAATGGATTAGAAGAAATATGCTCAGTTTCACCATTTTTTATTTTGAAAATCCTGCTAATCCTCCTTAAAATATTGTAATCCTCTCTTCATTGAGAATTTTTCACCGAAAGGAATAAATTAGAATTGTTTTAAGTGCAATTTTGCTTATTTTATTATTTATCGTATTGATAAGACTGATAAACAAAGTAGTGGAAAAAATGACCAAAAAATATATTTGCGTTAATTACACAGCTCAACTTTTACCAACTCATGTTACTAACTTTGAATTTGGTAAATTTTGCTGTTCCATCTTCAAAACCTAAAGTGAAGTTGTAAAATCTGCGGCTATTGACATAAAAAATCTTTGATAAAAACTCGTTCCAAAAAGCCAATGTTGGCTAACGTAGTTAAGTGAAACAGCTTTCCAGAAGGAAAAAAACTTCCAAGATGAATATTATTTGGAAAGCTGTATTCTTCAGTCGTAATGGCATAGTCATGTGAACTACTAATAAACATATTTTTATTTTTATGAGAGCGTTTTCTAAGCCAGGTCCGTCAGTTCTTCGCTTTGGCAAAGGAGTGGTGTTCTGGAGAAACTTGCATTCAGCCTCTCCTACCACTAAGGTGAAATGACTTGTGAAACCAGTCGTTCTATAGTGACTTATTTAAATCAAATGGCAAGGTCAATAGACTTTTAATTGACTTCGGTCATCACAGAGGTGAGGACCATCAAAGTCACAAAAGTTGGAGAGTGTCAACAGAAGAGTGATTCAGAGATGTAAGAGAGACAGACACAAAGGTAGATAAAAAGGTAAAGTGAGTACTGTAGAAGTGATGCAATAAGACATAGAGTCAGGTCATGGTAGTTTGAAGTCAGAAGCCAACTGCCGGTTTATAGACTTTTTTTGACGTATGAGTATACGTTGCCCAGAGTGCACCACGTGGAGGTAAGTCTATCGCACACCCCTCATTCCATAGTAACTAACTTAGGTAATTCTGACTTGCTATATGAGTGAAATGAACTATGGGTTTAATTTCCTTTCATAAATTGTTCCATTTCCACCGATAAATAACACAACTTTCTTAATGATAGCTGACACTACTTGCCTAATTTTTTAGTCAACTATGAATTGTGAAAATATTGGCTATTTGTTTTATTCTGAAATTATCGCCCAACCAATATCATAATCATAAATAATGGAGCAGTTGTCGTTTGCTAATTACACTAAAAAGGTAAAAGTGATATGATCTCGGCATTTAATAATACCCCTAAACAATACGTGTCATAAACCTTGTTGTAAAAATGATTTCTGACTACTGATTGTTCAACTAGAATGTTTCTTTTTGGAATTGAAAAGTATTCAGGAATAGCTTTCCATGGCTTTCATATCGAGCAAATATTTAATACGTCAATGCACATAAATTGTGTACAAATTTCTCGAAGTAGTCAGATGACTAATTCAATATCATTTACTAGCAATGTGTCTACTTTTTAATAAACCATTATTGAACAAGAGAATATATTTGATAGCTTTGACTGCTTGCAAATAATGTAGTGGAAATAAAGTAACTTGTGTTTGGTGAAAGCGAAGTCAATCAATCGTATCTATTTTAACACTAATATTGCCATTAGTCATGCTATTATCTGGGGATTAAATTTTATTGGCTCACTGTCAGTCAAATTTCTATTTGCTTTTTAACGAGATTGGCCTTATTATTTCCTATTTTTCCCTCCGTGCCGCTCTTCTTTCCTCTTGTGTTGCCTGTTTACAATGCACTCGTGGTCCTACTCACCCTTTCGTCATCTCATTTGAGAAGCGCTATTGGCAAGGTCATTAGTGCAAAATTATGGTATACAACTTAATTTGGCATAATTAACAGTACTTAAGGAAAATGAATTTCGTTCACAACTCAAATTTCTTTGTAGTGAATTGCTATTGCATGGGAGTAAATTATCCGCCTTAACTAAGGAGGAGATTTCGGCCCACTAAGAGTTGTTTGGAGTAGCTTGTATGTTAGAATCGAAAATAACGAGTTACCAGTTATTATCACATTGTATTGCAGCTCCTGAATCATCGATCTGGCCTAATAATTTCGAATTATGTAATTAAATGTCAATGCATACACATTCCGACTCAAAGATGTTACAATATTGAAGTGTTTTACGGCAACTGTCGGCAATGTCAAAACTCAAAAAATCCTCTACTTTACTTCACTGAGGGGATTAAAATAACAGTCTTTCATATAACTCCGTCCTGTTTGCCAAAGTTAGTAGTAGGTCTGTATGAATTAAGTGTTACAATTTAAAATAATTCCCATATCCTTACTTCTCTTATTTTTTACCTGATATTTGGAAGAAGAATCAAAACTTTACTTAATGTTAAGCAAAGAATCATGATGACCGAGTTGAGTAGATCTATGAAGAAGTCTCCGAGTCAAAATGTTCTTACTTTATTGGAAACGCGATGGGACAAATGTTTCTGTTTCTGAGGGGAAACAGACGGATATACAAAAGGAAGAAAACAAATTTTCCTCAGTAGAATGCAAAAGTGGGTGAACGAAGGAAGAGATAGAATGAGAGAAAAAGGTCATAACTGCACAATTTTTCACTCGCGTGCTTAAGTGCGTCAGTATACATGATCTAGCACACCTCATTGGCTAGTTTGCTGACCAATCATGAGGTTGGGATCCACATACTTACGTTGCATCACATGAAAGCAAAATCATTTTCAAGGCTTTTAGTCTCCTTGGCTTTATCGGACCTTCCATGAAACGTCTTGGAATTCCCAAGGATATAACTGGATATTTTTTATGATTTGGTAAGTTAATACTTCCTTTGTATCAAAAGGATTTCCGTAAATTATTTTCTATTCGAAAATAAATTTCAAATATATGCATCATGTATTCACGCTTGACAAAACTTTATTCCTAAGTACTTTTCTAATTTTATAGAATAATGTCAATAATATATATTTTTTCCAAATACTCATCAATTATATATTTTATCATTTCATATTTATAAACCGCCCAAAAGTTGTCTAACGTTAGCGGATATATGGTTTTGATCATGATATTCGATTTAAGACCTTACAGGTTAGCATACTTCTATTCTTAACATATTTTTAAAAACTCATGATATAGCTTTTTATTTATTAACATATGTCTATCTACTGAACGGCTTGGTATTGTCGACAAATTATTCAAATAAGTCGATTGAATATCTGTTGAGCTTAATAATATAATGTTTACCGGGTTAAATGTCACACTCATTTGCTCTATTTAAAAGTGATGGTAAAAGCCACTTTGAAAGTAAATTAAATTTTCAAATAAACCGATTGAAATAAGAAAACAAATGAAAAAATCAATGGTTACATGTGTCTGAGTTTCCGCATTAATTTCTCTCCCCATTTAAGTTTTCTAAATTGTCGTTTAATGATTATAGCATCAGATCTCACTGCGATATAACGAACTGTAATGGGGTAATCGGTAATAATGCCCGAATAATTGGCTCCAAGATGAAATTTCGTTGTTTCATCCAATAATTTCTGACAACCGCATAGTGGTTCTTGCTTGGAGACATCATCTTCATGTTGGTGGTAATTATCATAACATCTGACAGTTTTTTTCAGAGGGGCAGATGTTGGCGTCGTTTTAACACAAGATTGGCAGGTTGGAGGTTCATTGGGACAGACCGCGCATATGGCTATTGCTTTCGTTAAGTTTTCAGTCGCATACTCATTCGCAGTTGCCAAATCTGGTTTATTGTTTTCGTTTGACTTTTCCTGTTTGCCTTGATTAACTTGGTAGTTTTCAAGTTCATGAGTATTTCCATTCCCGGCTGTTTTTGAAATTGGAGGTTCATCTTCAACGAACTGAAGACACAGCCTGTTAGTTCTCAGAATTTCAACTGCCATTCTAGATCTGATAGGCTTGATTTTTTGGTATCCGTTATCGAAATCATCGTTGCATTTCTCTGGTGTCCGAATCAACAGTCGCTTTCGAATGGGACTAATGTCTCCCAAATAAGGTGTATCAGACCTTTCACAGTCCTGTCCATTGAATATCACACAAGATCCACTCTTCATGTCATAAGAACCATGCGTACATGCCCCATCAACTACACGTGGTGTTTTTAAAACCCGGCAAACATCCGTTGACCTTGAATCAATCAATCACAATCTTGATAATTTATCTTTCTTTGTTAATTTTCCGGAGGCAAATTTAGGAATTAATATGTTTTTTTTAATGTTAGAAGGAAAATGTATTTGTAATGTATTCTTCATGATATTATCGACTGGTCACAAGACTACTGAGGTCTATGCAGTAAAACAACATTGCTATAATCCAATACCATCCTTATATTTAGTGAGGTTTGCGCAAAAATCTTTTCTCCTGCCTCAATTGATATTTTAAATATTTTTGGATTGTTCTGTGCTTCCATTTCATGAAGGTATGGAAATCTACTATCTTTGTTCAATTTAAACGCTTGTGTTCATATTTAATAGGGTTAGCATATTCCAAACAAGACCTGAGTAGGGTCCAATTGAAGGTTATAAATTGTATTTTTTTTCGTTTTCTGCATAGAATTTAGCTATTCAAGGGGGGGGGGAGTTGTTTTGATTTATTATTTTGAGCTCACCAAAATAACCCTATTCGCTTATTTTACTTGAAATAATACTGTTTAAATAGACGTTAATTTCGTGCCCAAGTAATATCAATCAAGCGTGCATTCTCAAATAGACAATCGTGTTATTCTTGCATCCAAATACGAGCTTGATAAGGAAATATGCTTTTCATTACATTGCATAAAAAATACTCAAATTGTCTATTAGCTATGGGTGAACGAGAATATTTGACAGCGGAAAATAATGAAGAAATGCGTTCAAGTAACGCCATGTGGAAGAATCAATTGAATTTTCTCAACAAAAGTTTGGTACCAAATTTTCGGCTTTATGAGGAGATTATTGCTTTAATTAAGGGATGTGAATAACTATTTGCGCTCCGTTTATAACGTAGCGCATAACTATATTTTTTTAATTAGATTGATATGATCTATTTACTACCACCGATCTTTCGACACAATATAAGAATTAGGTTTACTTTTTCAGATTCCTATGCTCTTCATAATGATTATAATTCAAAACCTCTTTTGAATTGATATATTCCTCATACTTGATCATAACTGAATCGAGTTCAAGTTAAACAAGCACTTACAGGCTTCCTACAGTGTAACTACTTAAGACCACAAAGTCACCTTTGCTACAATTGTTTTCGATTAGTCATGGAATGCACAACTCATGACAGATTCCTTCTAAATACCCTTGGAGTCGTACATTAAATCACCCTACTTTCTATACAGTATTTACATATATTTGTTATAAGGCTGACGCGTTTCACATTTATGTCAACCAGATTAAAAACGGCGCAACATTTATTCACCTTGTTTTCTCATTCATTCTCAGTTTTATCATTGACAGAAAATAAATTAAGTCAAAAATGTATTCTAATTCTCATATTACTCGTGGACGAAATTATATTTATTGTTGCTGACGAAATAACTAATCGATACCGTATTGTACTTTGACAACAAAGTTACCCATTTCTTATCGTGGATATCATTAATTTACCATCTGGAATAATAATTATTAAGGTTACTTTGATAAATCTGGGATGGCAGTATTTTATCGATTTGAAGTTCAAGAGTTAAGTCAACGTTGACGTTGAGTTGTTAGCATAAACTTATGTGGTGTTGCTATCTCCCTCCATTTTCGAATTTTGCCAAACGGATTGATTTACCATCCTGTCAAAAGCAGCCTCTCTTAAAGGTAACACTGTTTTCGTAATTCCAGCCAGGCTAGTTATTCACAAATACACAATTTTAACATTTTTTCTCCTTTGTGATTTGATTGGGATATATTTCTGTTTAAAAATTAAGTTAAATTATTCATATACTCTTACTCCTATCAAATGAAATCTCTGACACAAAATTGTGCTCGATTAAAATTAATTCTGAAGACCTATAACAGTTTGAAGATAACGTAGAAACTGAAGCTAGGGTTGAAAGAGTTCAGCACAAGATATAGAGTGAAGACGACTGCGGTTTAACTAATTAACTGAAAGTGGAAAGAAGGAGATGTTTAAAGGTCATTACATCGATTTAAGATAGTCAAGCCACAGTGTTTATCAACGCTGGGATTTGTAAATAAACCCAAATTTTAATTTAGGAAACAATATTACAATTTGTGTCATAAAATTATTCTAATTGCTTCCGATAATCTTTTCTCCATTTTCTTCAAGTGAACATTTATAGACTGTGATCACAAATGGGATTCCGCGAAAGTGACACAATGTTCCTGGTGAACGTCCTTCAAGGTAAAATGTCACGTGATTGAAAAGCAACGACGCACGTACTTTAATTAAATTGACCAATCATTGTGATCTATATTGGGGAGTAGAAGTATGGAAGTAGGAGTCTTCCAATTTGAATATTTTACTTCTATCTATGTTTATTTTACGAATACCTGCTTAAATAACCTTAGAAATAAGCAAGATAAGTTAGTTCTATAATTGTCATCCTCAATCTCGACATGGAATAAACAGTTTTGACCACTTTCTAAAAGATTTTTAAATGTGGGATGACTTCAATTTTGTAGAAAGCAGCTTGACAGTCTAAACACTTCTCTAAAATGCCAAGAAGATGACATCTCATATACTTCACGTTACGATAAATGATGGTCAGTGGTGAATTTCAGAGTATGAAGCTTGAATTCATTATTTATTTTTCTAAAATATAAAGTGGGCCTTTGTGCTTAATTGGTGAGTGCAATGCCTGCAAGTTCCCCTCCCCTCCCCCCCCCCCCCAAATGGCTTCCATTTTATCAGACATTGTCAATGAGATAAGTTTCATTTTTACCAAGCTTTCCCATCATTATCTCTTTGAATTTTCGTATTTGGAGCGCGTATCTTTTGTAAGTTGCCGCTTTAAGTTCTTTTACGAAACAGCCAGTCACCACACAAATTAAATTAAATTAACGCCAAATAAATATATGTCAACTTCTACAGAAACTCATTTAATTAGTGGGCTGTGTTCAGGTGCACAATTTACATTCCACAAAAGTTCTTTGTTTAAATTGTTCGTTCTTTTAGGAGAGGGTTAATTTTTTATTCCTTTTATGTGCAATCGTGTTCATGGATTTGCTTCCATCTGCAATTCTCTCTATTTATAACTTGATCTATCGATGGGAAGACACAAATCGAGCGGGAAAAAGCAGTAATGCTGATTCCAGTTCCCCCAATTTTTCGCGCTTATTACGAAAACCTCACTCTCTTTTGTGCTCTAATTTGTTGATTAGGGCATTATATTTAAATAGGTGTCTATTCTCCTCAAGATAGGATGCAGTGAGTTTGAATTTATATCCATTTTATTTTAACCCGTCTCATATGGGATACCAACTCAGTTGATCTACCTGTTAAAAGGCCTATGTGCTAGTGACCATGGAGTTTGAATTTTGATTTGATTATGCAAAATATTTGCTGTGCTTCGAACAATTTTCGATAGATAAACACGAGTACAATGTAGCAATTTAGTGAATCGTTCATAGTATGCTAAAACTGGGACAGCAATTCGTTAATGGAATTCGGATAATTTAACGATATCCAACCGCTATCTGGTATCTGTCCACTAAAGTGAATCCACTTTATTTAAACAAACTGTAGATAATACTACACCTCTTTTCCGAGAGCACTACCTTGCCTCGTTAATATGACTTAATTAATAGGTATCCATGTCACTGCTTTTGAACAACAATCTCATGATCCCTGACTAAGTGAAAATATATGCTTATCACCTTGCCAACGATTTGGTTGGTCAACGATTTGACTTTTACATGCTCTGCTCAATATCATTCCTTCTAAAATCCTTTGTTATTTTGGAAAGACAACTTTCTTTTGACCCTACCAAACGTTTTATTCTCCAGAACCAACTAAATTCAAAATCGTGGTGGAAAAATTAGGCTTTCCTTTTGAATGTAGTTTAGATATAATTAAATGCCTGAGATCGCTTTCAGTTGTGTATGCATGGTTAATATTTACTTACCTTAAAGTACTTACTAATAAGAAATCACGGTAGATAATCTGATCCGGATAAGTGTTTCTCCTTTTTTGAGATTTAGCGACGCACTTTAAAGGTTTGAAAAGAAGAAACTAGATTTTTATACTTTTAAAAATGCCAGAAAAAAAGACTGGCATTAACATATACGAATTGTGGTTCTGTTAAAGTAAATTCAAAAGTACAACATGACGTCATTATTTTTAATACTTCAATTCTAGCCATGTGTTTTATCGTTTCCCTATTCCAATAATAAATAAGTTCATTATAAATCACGTTATTCGCTAAAAGATGTACCATCTGGTAGATGAATTGTATAAAATGCCTCACCAGAATTGTAATGCTACTGTTTATTTTCTTTCAGCTAATCGATTTGAGTAAACGTGAAATAATTGACTTTTAAACAGCGACACTGCCACAATAAGGAGTTCAAATGAGTGAGCACTCGATGGGTACGCTGACTCCCCGGACTGTGGGTATAAACCACATCGATAGAGGAACCATTTATCCTCCACCCTCATACGACCGGTATGGTTGCTATCCACAAATTAATCGGACGGCATATGAAAACGATGTGAATTTGGTGAGGACTATTAAAGATTTTAATGGAAAACCACTGATCATACAAAAACGTGACAAATTGAGGTTCATACACTCTTTTAGATGTCGTCTAAGTTCCATCAGAGACGTCTGAATGATGGATACTCTGAAGTAGCCCCATCTCAAATCCACTTTTCAAAGTGGTCCAATTCTAACTATGGAAGTACTAATGGAAGAGGTCATCGGTCTTCCTCCTTAAGTCCGAAACCGGCTGAACCTGCAGTTCAACTCTCATATCGTCCTCCAACACCACAAGTGTCATCTACGACCCCAACTACTCATCGTGGCATCCTCAAAGGTCAAAGGGCGCCTTCTGATGTGGGGGGTGATTCGCCCCGAGGTGTTGTCTACGGACACTCCAAGGGATTTTGGGATACCATGGATCTTAATGGTGGTGGGGAATTTAATGATAGTTGTAATTCAATTCCATCATCATATGTTGCAGGGGATTCAATGTCAAGAAAAACTGTTAGGTTTGCAGACGGTGATTCGACTGTAAACAATAGGATTGTACAGGGGTCTTACGGTGAGTTGTCAATTTATCGTTTTTCATTCGATTGGATATAAGAGAATAAAAATACTATAGATTATTAACTCTGGGATTTGAGTAAAAGTGACCTATTTTGTTCAGAAATTGTTGGTTTCAGCACAATGTGAGAGTCTTCCTCTTCCACCAAAACTTCTGTGTAAATTAAATTTTTTAACTTTTCTACAGTTACTGTTGGGTCGATAGATTTTACTATATCTTAAATGCTCTGTTTAATTAAAACTTACTCAATTTTAATCTGAAAGGGTAAATAGATTTGGCATCTTGTTAGGCATGTGGGGTGAGCTTAAATACATATAATTGTATTACTGCTCGCTAGTAATTCCTATTTAGTTTGTATCCCACATTGCTTTTTGCTATTATTATTATTATTAAAAATTATATGAGAAACGTGGGATTTTGAATCAGTTTTAAATTCTGTTAAGAAAGCGACGAGTCTTACCGGTTTCTATGTTATCCACGTTATTAATAGGCCGTACCAATAATTAAAATTAAACAGCGCGTATTTACATCCTTCACGTCCTAGCATTTCGAAAAGGCCTATAAAACTTAACTTGAGCAATTTTTTAATGTTCTTATAGCAGCATTTAACCCTGATCTAGGAGGGAATTAAGACAATTCAAAGGATTGTCTTCTAGGTTCCAACTTCTTTAAGACCTCTTCTAACGATTTCTGCAGCTTTATTTAATTAATGATTTTCCTGCTTCTCTTCATGTTTATTAATTATTCCATTTTCAGACATAGCCATTTTTTATTTCTTTGTCTGAAAATGATTACTTCGGCTGGGTAAATGGTTTGTTGTTTGTGTATTGTCCTGCTAAATAGGTTGTGGGTTCTTAACAAGTGGGGTTTAATGATCATTTAAGAATTTGCCATTTCTGCTAAAGGATCAAATTCCCTCATAGATTACAAGCTAGTCTGTCAATTCATTAATGTAACCAATACATTTTTTAAGCTAGTGAATAAAATTCCCACACTTTGTATTTCTTTTGAAACAAAATGTATTGTATTGTTCCTAGTTCGTCACGATCCAATGATGCTAAGTTCTACAAGGTTAATCTACCACTATCGAAAATTGATGTGATTCACGAAAACATTCAAAGATAATAAAAAGTATAATAATAATAGTTCTAGGGTTAAAGTAATTTGCGAATTATGACTATACGCCCTACCTCTCATTTCAATCCGAGGTTATCCAATTTTTAATTTTTTTTCTGTAAACTCTTCGCTAAATTTAGAAACACGTTCACATTCATACCGCATTCGCGTCCCTGACCAAGTGACTAATAAGTAGTATTTGCGATTCCGCTCACTCGCCTTCAATCGGTCCTTGCAGTACCCTCTCATCTCCCCCCCCCCCTTACTTTCCCAATTACTCTTCGTGGCTTGTTCGATAAATTTTGCACCTTACATTCAACGTTTTGGAAGTGCTAATATCTACCAGCTCCAGCCTTTGTTTAAACCGGTTACAGCTCCTTCTTAAATTTGGCAGTCATCTTCTTACCGCTCTGCAATACCCCTAAAAATCCTTCTTATGTGTCTTCATTAATTTTTTGGTAAAGATGTTCCTTTGATTGTTAATCGAATTCAAGTTAATTCATTTACCGCTTATCTGAAGAAGCCGTGTTTGAAAATTAAATTTCTAATAAGGGAGGACAATTTGAGCAGAGAAGTGATAATTTACGTAATTACAGATGAAAAATTGTGAAAAGTGAGAATTGGAAAAGTCGCGTTTCATTTAATTGGAGAGATTAATGGCTTTGTCCATTTTACCCTTGGGTCACATTTATCTGTTTTGTGTTTTTATGTTTCAAAGTTCAAAGTTCAAACTTTGCCCTTTCACCCATGCTATACATTCGCATTATTGTTCAGTTTATCAATTTGGATGCTTCTAATTACCATTTTGTCATTTGATGCAATTATTCTCTGGTGAGATTATCTAAGAGCTTATAGCTCCACTGCTGAGTGGAAATAGAGAGGGATTGTTTCCCATGGTAATAGGATATGCAGAAAAAGTACAAAGATAAGCCTGTGTGTGAGTCCGTTGAAACTAATTTTTTTCTGTTTAATATTCATATAACTAAAGACATTCCTATATTGTAGTGCTCTCTAATTTATTTTGTAATAAAAACGGCTTTATGGTTGAGAAAATGTGCCCTTCCCTCATACAAGCGATTTAAATTATGATCACAATGAATACCCCATTCGAATTTGAAATCAATAAATTTGATTCTACATTTATGTAAAAGTTAATCGTTCTCATCCCAAATGATCTATAGACTAGGTTTTTTTCAGATGAACTTCAGTAGTTTAGATAACTGAGAATAAAATGAGGCAAGAGTATTAAGATTTCCCTTATTTTGGAATTTCATACACCGCACCTTTTACGCCTTCAGAATCTTACATTGTCACCGAGACTATTTAGACCTTGCCTTCAAGTTGGTTGCCTTATTGCCAAATTCGGTCACGAGATTCATGAAAGATTAGGCAGAATCATAGTCTTGGCATTTTTTTGGGGGGCCAAGGCCCGACTGTCCACGTGATCAAAGTAGCAGGTTATCTACCTTCTACCTTATCCTTTCTGAAAATTATGCGCAGTGCCTACACTGGTCCCAACGATGTGTTCAGATGAACGCCAATATATGATTATGAAGAATTAGGGAATTGTCATGAGAGTGTGAAAAGTATTTAACTGGCAGATCATTCACCAGAAAGGCAACTTTAATCCTGGTAGTAATGTCAGTCGCAACACTGAGGGTTAATCGTCAGCACCAAATCAACAAATTGGTCTTTGACAGGTTAAATAAATTACTTTAAGTACTAAAATGCCTGGCTAACGTTTCCCAGTTCACACACTTTCATGGAAGGGTTATAAATAGCCTACGCGCGCATAACAGCATCACCCACATGATGGAATATTCCGTTTGACTTTCGGGCACATGTTTTGCCACGCTTGCAAAGATTGTTATTTATGCATGCCTAATTTTATTTTGCTAAAATATCTTTACGCACTGATTCAAAGAAAACAAAAATGATAATCGAATCCATGTGTTTGTGTCATTCTGTTGGTGATTCGCGTAAATTTGAGATGGTTAGATTGAACAGATACAAAAAAACAAATCCTCTCTCTTTTAATCTTTTGATGCAATTGAGAATGGCGCAAAATTTGAACTAAACTGCGTTCACGGGTATAGGATATCCAAAATCCTAAAGCGTCAAATTTCAACGTTAATGATAACTCTCCATTAACAATTTGATAGCCATTCTTTTGGTTTATGATAAGGATTTTCCTTTCACCTTTAAAAATTAGTATTCTATTTGTATATTAGAATATATATATATATATATATATATATATCATTTGGCTAAACCCCGTAAAACGCCCTTACGCGTTAAAAATTGCCATAAAATTTGGAATGAAATTTGATTAATTTCACAGCTAATTAGATAAGGATATCATCTTCTTAATTTATAATTGAAAGCATATTATCATAAATTTTCTCATTTATTGTATTACATTATTGAGCTCACACACGAAGTGAAAAACAATGTTTCGAAGTCGAGTGTTTGGAGCGTTTAATTTTTCGAGAAAAAAAGAGGAATCTCTATCGAAAAGTACACTAATTTAGAGCAAAATGGATTTACGACCTTCAATAGATGACGTTAGTATCTTAAAAGTGCTTCATAACAAAGGCATTGGGATAATAATGGTGAAAAATGATATCAATAGATAATTGGCAAATAGTATCTGCAGTAGTTGTTATTGAATAAAATTATATTATATATAACCATTTGGCTTGGTTTACATATTTTAAGACTTAAAGAAACCAGAAAGTTGGTACGTGAAATAGTTGATATTGGCAGCTATTTGGGGGGAGGGGCTGTTGATGTCTTTGACTTTGTGAAAATAGTACTTACCTTACTGCGAACCTTTACATGGCGTTAACTAAGTTGTTTTTTTCACGTTACCTATATAAATTTTATTGTAATTTGGTTATAGAAATTGAGAGATGGGAATACATTAAGCTCCATAGCAGACCAGCCACGCCGGTCACACCATTAAAGTATTGATAATGACCTTGGTTTCGTGTAATCTTGATCATATTGATAACTCGTGATTAGATAGTACTTAAAATGTAGGGGGAAGAAGACTTCTCGTATCCAAAACTTGGCCGAAGGTTTTTCCGAGAAATTCCCTGGTTAGTTTCTTTATACTTAGGCTTTGCTGCTATGGCGTTGTCCAAAAAATGCTTTATTTTTTATTTACACACTGCGCTTACTGCTAACTTCATTGGCAGTAGAATTTAAATTACAACTTTAACTAACAAGTTTTTCGATTTGTTGATGCATATTTAGGAATCCGTGTGCTATATTATGCATAAAATACAGTGAATTTATGCAGGGGCAACATAATCTTAAAGTCCTCTAAAAACGAGCCTTCCATTGTCTAGCATCAGGAAATTTCTAGCATTAATATATTAACTGTGCGCTTAATGACTTAATAATAAATGCACACTTATTACATATTTGAAACTGAAAATATCATTTATTTCATCTGTATTGATTTGTAGTTGCAAAAGGTAATTAAATTTACATTTTAGCAATAAAGATTTGTGTGAACTGCCAACTATTCCCCTATATATGGAAAATAGAGTCTAATATATGCCAGTGTTCTGGCTGGACATCATAGATGTCTGCGGACGGAATTTGTTCTGGAGGTTCTAGGATTACCAATAACTATTCCACCTTGTACTAACCAAGGAATAAAGTCCCATCACAAGCATAGTTATTGTCTAGCGTATGCTCAAAGTCCGGCTGTTAACAGCATTTCATTGTTAGCAAATTTGATTTTTAAGTGATTGGGGGGGGGGGGGGGGTGAGCAAAAGTAGTCTCTGTTTATCTCTGTGGGTATCCGATAATGACAATTGCAGCATTCTGTTTTTACTGGTACTGACAACTAGTGTTTCATTAAGTCCAAACACCTCATAAGCTTTCAATCTCTCCTAAAAGCATAATTGAATCTCAAATTTATTAAGATTTACTCTGGAACTTCTCGGTCGAACTTACTAAAGTGATCGAAATATTTGTTTCTGCAAAAATATGGCCTAATTATCCCTTAACTTGTTTTGCAGAGGAAATAATATCTGTCTCCTTTCCAATAGGAGTGTTCTCCTCCCCAATATTCACTGGTTTCAATAAAAGCATATTGAGTGCTACTTACGGTGACTCCGAAGACCACACAGATATCACGTCATTATTAGATCACATTGTTCTGTATTGTGTCAAGTAAATGTATTGCGATAGATAAAATGGGTGTACATAATGACAAGAGAAGGCTAATAATACTCAGATCGCCTTGTCTCGAGGAGAATTTGTCATGTGGGCCATCACGGAGATCCCGAAAATTAAATAGCGGTTAAAATGTGGTAAGTTGGATAGCGAATCAAGGTAAATTCAAGATCTTACAACAGGATTTCAAATAAGAGTGAGGAAAAATGCTTCCATCAGAAGAACGTGGGATTTATAATTATATTTTTTTCCTAAATACCTCAATAATATAAACATTTCGCTGTTTGTCTTGTCAGTCTGTTCTTTACTTCAAAGTCTGCATTGCATAAAGGCATTCTAAATCAGAAAAGATAAGTTATAACTTAAAAAATGAGATTCAATTGAAAGTCGTTTGAAAACAGTATCTTCACTAAAAAAATGAATTTCCTGATGGGCTTCATTTCTCTAAGTCAAGCCTTCTTTATTTGTTTTTCGGCAGTTAACTTCTGAGATTGGAAGAGAAATTTTTGCGCTTAAATGCCAGTGAACTGATGAACACCTGGTGATAATAATTATCATAAGCAATAAAATTTTCTCCTGGAGAAAATTATTGATTTATTACCTCAAAAAAGCCATAATCCTCAATTAATGCGTACCGCTAATAAGCCTTAATGACCGAAGAATGTGTTAATAACTAGACGTGGCATGAAACACTGAATCATTGCCATAATCCTTCTATCCCCCACACAAGTTGCCTGTGCGCGTTTTTTATTAAAAATCCGTTTTTTATCTGAACAATAGCAAAGCTAAAAGGATACACTTGCAAATATCATGCTTCTGTCAATTTTTGCTCAGTTTAAAGGAAACTTCAATTGCATTTTTTATGCCTTAATAGTGGTTGTGGTGATGGCCAATTGATCAATTCTATATTTAGACAAACATAAATGTGAGTGACAAGCCCTATTGGTTGTTTTTTCATAATATGAATATGTAAAATGGATTTTCTCCCCTTACCTCATAGCGACCATTTATCTTAGAAGGATTTCGAAATAGACTTCCATAAGTGCCAACTACAAGAACTACAGGTGCGCGTTTTCACGTATTTGTGAAGGGAGCCGTTTGGAAGGAGGTTGTTGAAACTGAATTGTAGTCATCGCTATTTTTTAAGTAAAGGTATAGAAAGGAGTAGCCCTTCTGTTCTATTGATTTCCAGTGTTTCTAAGAAAGAAGATCCTTAAAAATTAGTGGCGTATTTGTTTTTGCCACATTTTTTTACAAAAAATTACTTGCTGTATAACTTAATAAACGAAACACATTTTTATTGAGTACATCGGCAGATCGATTTGTGTTTAGCAAAATATTTCTCGTGATCTATCCTAGGTATGTGCAAATCTATATTCGGTTGTTCTTCTATTAAGTTTTTCCACATTTTCGTACTTTTAATTGACATGTCCTTAATAATGACAACATTGATGGCTTTCCTAACCTTAAAAAATTTTTTTGGTCTTTGCTATGTGCAGACCATCTTGAATATGTATAACACCGAAAGACTTGATATGACTTCAATTGCTTCCGGAAATATATTACTCCATTTTCTTATCTAAATAGTACTTCTGTTAGCTATTAGTGAATTTTGGTTTTAGGGATTGAGAAAGTATTTAAATTCAATTAAATTTTCATTCATTTTAGATGGTATGAGAGACCCCATTTGTCGCACCGATGGCTCTCAGGCTCAGGGTATCTACGAATGGGAGCCAGATGAACTCTATAACAACGCCAGAACCACAGGAGATCTCCAAAAGCCACCTAGGCCCCCCAAACAACGTCAACCAATGAGAACAGAACGCCGATTCACCGCAGATGGTCCGAGTCTTGCTCGAAATCTTCGGTTTGTTACCAACCTTAATGGAGGTAGTGTAGCAACATCTTTATCAACTCCTTTACATGACACTGAGCCTCCTCTTACTGCAGTAGATGATAACTACGCCAACTATGAAAGCATTTATGGAAATCGGAGATTCACGGATTGTTCCGTGGGTGAGGTGGAAAAAATCGATAGCCAACGACTGGACGCCCTAATGAAGCCTTACATGACATCAGCTAATGAGGATATAGGATCGCCCCCAATCGGTTCGATCAATGTGGCTACTTCTCCAGCGCCTGTTTATCGAACTGAGGTAATTCACAATCCATCTAATAGAAGAACATTTGTTGGCCAACAAAAGAATTCAGTGAGTATTCTATCAAAATTATTTGTAGTTAAAGTGCTTAAGTTAAATGATAATTTTAATATAAATGAGTGCACTTATTTGATTCCTAACGAATTGTGGTTCAGTTCTAAGAAGAACTGCATTTTTACAGAAAGTAATTAATTAAGAGGCAAAGAGAAAGCGCTTCATGTGGAGAATGTCCATTTTCACTGCAAAAATCACTTAAAAATGACTGCAATAATAGCAGTCATTGAGTTAATGAAAAAATCGCTGCCAATAGGCATCTGAGTGAGACAAAAAGGGGACGCAAATAAAATAGATGGTCATACAGGTAGACTCCCACTGTTGTCATTAAAGAAAAATACCATAAGTGTTTTAAAGCAAAAGTATTGACTATTAAACTAAATGTTTATTGTAGATTATGTAATTATGGTAGCACGTTGTGTTGGAGTTATTAAACATTATTTCCTTAAGCAATTTTCCTTTAGTTGCACTTTTAATAAATTAAAATATAATTATAATAGTGTTTTAAGCGTTATTTTGTATGATCTTGATTTGCTCAAATACCTAAAAAATTATAATCTTAATCGAAAAGACTTGGTTCTTTTGAAATTGAAATATCTGGTTGACTCGAAATTTTTCTTCCACTTCTAATTGTATTCAATATACTCCTTTTCGTAAGTTACAGTAAAATTATTTTACTGCACTCCTTCCGTTTGGAAAGACGCCTGTCAATGAATTATTTAAGCCAATATTCGTACATGCTTAGGGGAAACACAGCGCTTTTCTCCTACTAAAATAAATTCATATTGACAGTTATTTTACGGTTTGTTAGAATTCCTCTTTTAGCAATGGCTTATAATTGGAATATCCCACCGTCTGTAATCGATTGCGGGGGTGTTTGGGTTTTCCTAGATGACATTTCAACTCCTAAGGTTATGTTTCCACACCTCGGATACCC